ATATATATATATATCAGAGTTGTTCCCAATGAAATTTATACTTTAGCAAACAGTAATGAATGAATTTTCTCACCCACCAATTTTAACTCCCTAGGGTCACTGCAGGATAGTATAAATATATACGTAATTCCAGACAATTCTCAGGATAGTCTCATGATGTGAGACTGCAACTCCCTGAGAGTCACACATGTGGTAGCAGGGCTCTGATTCACACCAAGTCTAACCAACTCTAACACTGGGATGGGGACCACAGGGCTGTGTGATGAGTGAGTCTGACCACACAGCACAGTGATATGCCCACCAATTTCCTTGCTCACATGCATAATTTGTTTATAATGATTGAACCTTTGTGTTGTTCACAAAAGCTGACAAGTTGACATGTTATGTACATGACCAAAATAAGAAACATAAAAGGTCACATTCTTCCATTATTTTTCCATTTCTAAGCCAGCCAAAAAGTAATAAAACAAATTTCTATTTGGGAATTTAGAAAAAAATAGCAAAATAATGAAGGGAATGCAGCAAAGAATTCATTTTACATGGTTCTCTTCTAAATAAAAACCTCACCACACAAAGGCAGGGAACAGTTTAGAAAAACCTGCCCAAGAAGATTTACAGAACTAGTTCCATGAGTATCAGATACTTTATATGAAGGTTCTCCAAACAGGATGGCTTCTTGAATTAGAATGGTTATAAGAAGAAAACTATTTCTTTTTATGATTGCTAAATTTCTGAAGGTCCTGCCTTTCCTCAAAAATCTTTATTATCAATAGAAAATGCTCAGGATGCCAACTAGCAGTACTAATAATTATCAACTTTCAGACATAGCAGCTTATTTGCCTTATAACTATGAAGCAAAACTATACACATAACTTGTTCACCAAAATGCATCCTCACCACAGTATCATAACTAATAGACACTTTTCTGCTTTTCCCAGGAGTGAAGGAAAGATGAAAACTTTGCCACTGCTGGTATGCATCTGTGCTCTGAGCGCTTGCCTCCCAGTGAGTGTCCACCTTCGGGAGGGGAGTTAACCCATAATATTCAGGGTATCTGCCTCACAGAGGTTACCTAGAGGGGAAGAGGGAAAGAAGGGAGTTGGTTGGGGGTGGGTAGAAAGTTACACTTGGGTTGAAGCAAAAATTTCTGGTGTGTTATTGTGCACTGGGGTAACTGTAGAGAGCAATTGTGTACCATAAATTTCCAGAAGCTACAAAAAGGGGATTCTGAATGTTTCTACAATAAAGAAATTATAAATATTCTAAAAGCCAGAAAGAACCTTTAACTAATGCAACAGGTAATCCTTTTTCCAAGAAATATTTTTTTTGTTTTTGCAAAACATAATAGATCATTAAAAATGATTAAAGCACAAACAAATAATTCACTTCATTTAACCAATTTCTACAGGGCATCAACTTCATAATGAGTGTGATGAGAACTGACAGAGATGCAGGAAGCATTCTTTGGCTTTTAGGTTTTGGTGCAGAACAAGGAAATTCAGTTCTAATTATGTTAGAAGCATGGGGATGTTACAGTCCTTCACAGGAGTTACATAACTCTGGGTTCAGGGAAGAAACAAATACAAAGGAGAAATGCTAAGGTAGAGAGCCATTCAGGAAGCTCTGTCATCAGTCTGGATGAAGAATGATGAAGGCTTGTATTAAATGCCAGCACTTAAAACAAAATATGAGGCTAAGTATATTTTGGGTATATATTTATGATGTGTTTTGGTGGTTGGACCTACTGACCCTCCTGATGGTTTGTGCATGTGGTCAAAAAAAGAAATGCACAGATAAGTTCTGTTTCAGATATCTTAAATTTGAAGTGGTCATTAGACTTCTGCATGGAAATATAAGACAAATATACATTATCTAGAGTTCAGATAGAAGTCAAGGGTAAAGTCTGTATTTGGAATATGTTTGATCTTCAGATCAGCTAGGGAGAACACATAGGAAGGTTAAGTTAGACAGAGAAAATGGAAGAATTACAAATGGGACAAGAACATATGGTTTCTAAAACCAAGCAAAGAACACCAGGTAGACACTTTCTTTAATACATTTAGGGTCTATGGGGAGAGCAGGATTAATATTAATAAGTCTCAATGTGATATATCAAGTAACAGTAAGTATATTCGTCTCTAAGGAAATATATGTGTGTATGTAGATGTGTGTGTGCACTTTTCCTTTAAAAATTTGGAAGAAGAATCAAGTTTGTATTTATTTATTGAATGAAACTGGATTGCCCAGAATTCATTACTGTTGTGAATACAGACAAAAAGGAGGGGAAATAATGAAGTTGATAAAATTTACTGTTGAATATTCTCATATTTCCCATTTACAACATAAGATTCCACCAAAACAATCTCATGTTGTTTCCCAGGACCCTAAGGCTGATTTCTGTGATTATAATAGAAAGAGTACTGATTGGGCTAAAAAATTTGAGCATTCCTTAATAGTTACATTGTTCCTCATAAAAGGAATGCTGATTTTCAATTACACATGAAAATAGGCAAGTAACCTCAAATGCAAAATGTAAGGTGCATTCTAATTTCAAGTAAATGTAACCTACCTCTTTTCACTTCTAACTCTCTATTCTCGATGACTAATTTCTCCCTCCTCTTCCTTCCGTAAAGAAATTTGACATTCAACTGCTTACACTAAGAAGTTGTTGTCCCCTTCTTCCTCCTCCTCCTCCTCCTCCTCCTCCTCCTCCTCGTCTCTGGCTCCAGCCTTCTTCTGTCTCTCTCCCATTCTCCCTCCCTTAAGAATACCCCATTCCCCTCTTCTCCCTCAAGTCTTCTCCCTTCCCACTCTTCTCAAAAGTGTGGTTTGCATACGGAGATATATTCTCCTAACCATTATTTAATCTCTCTGGGACTACATTACTTCATCTGTATTAAAATAATGCAGATAACATGTCATGGTGTAGCTAAGAAATTAAATTTATTTTTATTTATAAACCACTTAGAAAATAGCCCGACATGAGGATTTTTCAATAAAAACAAATAACATGTGTGACTGGGGAGCTAGCGACAGCTCTAATACGCCCTTCGTGGCATAGCTCAGCACCTCCATGTTTCAATCATCTGAACTAAAGCCTTAGCTCAGTGGGGGTGAACCCCTGGCATGTGTGTTATTACGTTTTCTTTTAAGACAGAAGACGTTAATGTACGAGTTGTTTTTTCTAGACTAAAACCTCAGTATTTAGACTTAATTGCACTGATAGCACTTTGTGAAAAATAATTGGGTTTGGGGCTGTTGTTTGAGCAATTGTCTCTAAAAGGTTCACCATCACTGCCTTAGATGAATGCATTTTCAATTCTAAACACAATTTCACTTCACAAGCTCTATCATGGACATACAATAATCAATATATTGATTAAATATATATCAGTCAAACTGGTTGGTACATTTTCTATGCTAAACTGTAACTGATAGCATTTTAATTCATTTGTTTTCATATAAAAATGACATAGGTATTGTTTTTATCATCTAAATAAAATAGTTAAAATTATTTTAAATCTTATGTAAAATAGTATTGAATGTTTAAGACTTTATTCAATAAGAACTCGTGTATTTGTTCCAATTTTAGTATACGTGCTGCCAAAGTGAGCAGAGAACTCATGTACTTGGTATTATCAATTCCAATCATTTACTCATTCAGTGAATAACTAGCGGTGCCTAACATGTGTCATACACAGTTCTCAGACCAGGGTGTTCAAAAGGAAACAGATCCCTGCCTTTGTGAAGCTGAACACCTGTCTAAGGGATTTGAATAGCATAAATATCTCCAACCTCAGAATTTATGGAGTTAGACCACAGATCTTAAATTTAGTGTGAGACATTTCATAAAGGAGTAAAAAAAGGTCCAGTTGAATTAAGTGACTTGAGAAAGTCACTCAATCATTTAATGGTGGACAAAGGACAGATCAGTACTGCTGTTGTTGATCTACTGCAGTGTGCTTCAAATACACTCCTCCGAGGTGTGGGCACCTTCACAGTATCCTAGAGACTACCCGGAAAGGGGGAAAGTTAGCTAGTAGAAGTGAGACTTAATGAAGTTAGAACTGCAATCCAGTTTCCATTCCCAAAGCTCCACAAAGGCTGCTTGTTGATATTCATCAATAATCCAGTACTTGATAAATTGTTACATCTTATATCTAGATGTCCCCCCAAAGCCTCGTGCAGCTTAGGTATGGCTTTTTCAGAGATATCTGGATCTAGAGTTTGTGATGCTGGGACTAAGGGTGTGTGATTACTAAATCAGTCATGCAATTAATTCAGCACCCACCCTAAGCCTGGTGAACTGAAACCTCTACAAACTGTGAGCTAAAAATAAACCTTTCTTCCTCTAACTTTGGGTATCAGCTTTTTTGTCTTAGCAATAAAAAAAGTAACTGAGACATGTCAATAGACTTTTTTTCAGGTTCTGATTTTTCCTTCTTTTCTATAGTTCAGTGAAGGTGGAAGAGATATTCGCCATCTATATTACAGAAAAAAACTTCACCATCAACCTAAATTTGTCAAGCTACCACACCATTTTGGATTACCAATACTGCAGAATCCATGGCCCAAGAGACCTGTACGTCCACGTCCACCCTTTAGGCCTAAATCTACACATCAACCTCCTCTGTTTCCAAATTGCTCCAAGCCAACAAATTTTCCAGTTAAAAGTACTACTGTGGTCAACAATAATACTTCAGAGGCCCCCACTCAAAGTCCAATTCTGAATATCACATCTCCTACCAACAATCCTACTACTCAGAATGCTACCACCACAGGCTCTTCTGTAGCTCCACCAACAACACAACCTTCTTCAGCTCCACCAAACACCACAGTTAACCAAACGGCATCTTCCCCAACTACACCAACACAACCTTCTTCAGCTCCACCAAACACCACAGCTAACCAAACTGCATCTTCCCCAACTACAGCAGCAACACAACCTTCTTCAGCTCCACCAAACATCACAGCTAAGCAAACTGCATCTTCCCCAACTACACCAACACCACAACCTTCTTCAGCTCCTCCAAACACCACAGCTAATCAAACTGCATCCCCAACTACAGCAGCAACACCATCTTCTTCAATTGCATCAGAAACTACAAGCACATCAAGTACCTCTGAAACAACAACTGAATCCATAGCCCCAACTACTGCACCAACCACCACCACAACTACACATACACCAAATATATTGGATCAATATATTAGAGATCTTCTAGGTCGGTTAGCTTGGTTGTTTACTGGTCAGTAATACTTCATACTTCATGGAGTACTCTGCCATTCATGTGATTTATGACAAACAGAGTTACCATCTTTACTTTGACCACGTATTTTAAAGTGAAATTATATTATTCAAATTGAAAGCACTCTCACAAATCTTGATCTAACTATTCACCTTACATGATCAATTAACATAATCAATCACCTCTATCCCACAAAAACATATATACCTGTGATCAAGATCTCTGTTTGGAACCCATGTAGTAGCTCACTGAAGGAAAAGAAAGACATTAGATTGAAAAAAATATATTGTATGAGTCATCAAGCATTTACTTTACCCTAAAAGTTAGAAAATACAAGGTCATTATATTACATTCAATTACAAACCCAGTAAAATCATCTAATCCTATAAACATAGGGAATAAAATTAGCTCGATGTAAGCCAAAATTACATAGATTGATACATCTATTTATCCTCCTCTTTATATTCATCTATGTATAGAATGATCATTGTAATGCAGATTAGTAACCACACCCAGTATACAATTATTTTAAACTCTTAATGGAATTCAATTCCAAAAATTGAGCCAAGAAAAGGGAAAAATAGAAATAAATGAAAATGAAATATCTGACAGGGACTCCAAACCAAGACTCTGGCAGTACATTTCTGAAAGCAGGTCAAACTTTATGGTTAGCATTTATTCTTTACATCTAAATTAATTTTGAACTACTGCACTTAATTCTAGCCTCTGTGAACCACAAAAAGACATTTCCTAGGCACGCATTTTATTACTACATCAATTAGTTTACATTGTCAATATAAAATATATTCAATAGTAGAATATTTTCCACAAGTGTTAGTCATATAGTTGAATGTATTTAAAAAGAAAACCATACAATTTAACCATTCAAATGTCAGGATGGTAAAATTGTCTATAAAAATAAACCCTGACTTTAATTGGCAGAAGTATAAATCTTATCTGTTTGTTGAATAGAGATGTTAATTTGGAAGATAATTATTCTTGTCACTGCTATTAAGAAATCTGGTGATTATACTTTGATTTTTTTTCAATAATAAAGACTTCCTATGGCAATCTATTTTTATTGTATACTTGCGAGTTTCTTGCCTTTCTCAAACTTTGGTGGAAAGGAGGCCTAACTAATGATTGACATTCTTGTCACATCTGCCACTTGTGAACCAAATGACCTAAATAGGGTGCCAGAATCTCTGAACAACAGGTCTTTTCGTTTAAATAAAGTGGTTGCTTACTTAGATTCACTTTATTTTATTTTTTAATGTATATTTTAACCACAAAGTCTATTTCTCCTATGCTTCCTAGTCTGACAGCTAAAAGCTCCATCTGTAACTCTTCCTGGGCTCATTTTGAATTAGCTCTGTATCTTTGTAATTTATCTTTAATAATATCACCTAGTAGAGTATTCTTTCTCTCAGGGAACACTCTCCTCCTTTTTTTATTTTTTTTTTTTTTTTGAAGGCTAAGATGCGTCTTCCTGAAGGTGAAGCCTTCACAATTACCACTACACACTTTATACAACTTGCAAGATTTCTTGCATACAGTACAACAAAACAAATGGGATGGGATGGAATACAACACAATGCAACACCGTGGAAGAAAGGGGTGGGTGAAATAGAATGGAACAAGGCAGGAGGTATGGCATTATCCTCAGCAAGAACTATATGTACACTGCGACAAAAATTGTGCTCCATTGACCTGAGCAATCTGAAAGAGAGGAGAAATAACATATGCATCAAAGAAAATGGGTTATTTGGTTGACTGCTTATTACTATTCACTTTTTTGTGTGTATTCCTTCTCCTGCACTGTAAAGAGAAGGTAAACATGGAGAAAGTCCCTTTTTACTAATTGTCTTAGTTATTTTTCTCATTGCTGAGACAAAATAACTGACACCTAAAGTTAATGGAAAATAGGTTTATTTTAGCTCACAGTTTGTAGACATTTCAGTGCACAGCCAGCTGGCACTAAGGCAGGGTAGCATGGCATTTAAGAGGAGGAAAAGTCCATGGCACCAAGGCAGTCAGAAGTTAGCCAGCCATGAAATAGAGACCAGCAAGCAACAAACTACAAGTAACTATCAGCATGCCTTTCTCTGTCATTTATATTGTAGCCAGATTACCTGTCCTTAGAGCAGACAGCACTCACACCCTTAATCCTAGCATTGCATCAAGAACCAATCACACACTCTAGATGCAGCCACCTGTGCACAGGCCCACCTATGATCACATAAGGCTTTATGGGGAATCTAAACACAAGCCATAACACTAATATAACTTATGATTAATTAGAAAGGAAAATAATGGAGAATTCCAAATTTTGTAGACAAAATTGTCCAGAAATTGAGCTGGGGATTTACCTCAGTGGCAACATGCATGCATTGCAAACCCAAGGTCCTCAGTTCAATCTCCAGTACTGGAAAAAATTATCTACAAATTTTACTACAGAAAGGATATACAAACCAACATTTTAAAAGTTCATGCCAATTGTAATATTTTAATTGAAGTTTCATGTACCCTTCACATGCCTTGTTTTATTATTAAAAGAAAATAAAGAAGTAAAAAGTAAGCATGAATTACTATAGCAAGAAAACATGCTATACTTTAAAGTATAAAATGATAACTGTAGTAAAATTTTAGACTCTAATCAACACACTTCATTTAAAATTTAAGTAATACTGAGAGAAGGAAGTAAGGTATACAAAAGCTAATGAAAATGGTAAGACAGTGCTCATAATTATATTCCTCAAAATGAATGTTTAAATCACTCTTACAAAATGCAAAATTTCACTGTATCTGGAGCTTTCCATAATTTAACTTTAATTTGTAATGTTATTTTAAATGCAACATATTTAAGTTTATTTTCACCTGGAAAACACATGTTCACTTAACTGACCTGTCAAATTCACCCAAAATGCTAAATCTATGAGCTATTTTTCATCTTCAAGTTCTGGCACAAATTTTCTTATTGATTTTATAAGTGACTTTATGCCATTTCAAAAATCATACAATCTTTTCTACATTTTTACCCCAATTTAGTCACCTTATTTCAGATGAGCAAATGATGTCCTCATCACTAGCCCCTATACATTTTAGCAAGTACTGGAATTGCTGAAGACTCACAACCATTGCACCTCATGAAATTCACAGATTTCATGATAATTTGCATGACATTTTCCATTTTTTAAGCTTTCACACATAAACTGTCTTGATATACAATACAGTGATATTGCTGTGAGCAATCACACCGTCTTCCATTAATTTTCCAAGTCCCTCTTTTTTTTAACCATCAATAATCAGGGTATAATCAGTAGCTATAACAAAAATATTATAAAAGGATTTTTAAAAATCTTTAGCTGGGGATTTAGCTCAGTGGCACCATGCCTGCCTTGCAAGCACAAGGTGCTGAGTTTGATCTTGGGTATGAAAAAAAATCACATTAATGTAATTTTTACTGCTAAATGTAAATCAAAAAATTTAGTTGTACCTTTTTATGTCACCAAAGAAGCCATTTGTTTGGTGACATTATATTTGTTTTCAATACTTCTAATAGTCCAAGTGGAGCTGCACTTTCATCTATCAGCAAACCAACAATCAAAAATCAATAGCATTCTTATACACAAATAGACTCATTAAGAGTGAAATGAGGGAAACAATCCCTTTCACAAGAGCATCCAAAACAATGAAATATTTATGAATCAATCTAATGAATTAAGAAAAATACCTCTATATTGAGAACTACAATGCTCTGAAAAAAGAGACTGAAGAGGACATCAGAAAATGGAAAGACATCCCTTGTTCCTGTGTGGCAAAACCAAATATAGTGAAAATGGCCATACTTCCAAAACTTCTATACAGATTCAGTGCAATCCCTATTGAAATGCCAACAGTATATTTCACAGAGCTAGAGAAAACAATCCAAAAATTCATTTGGAATCATAAGAGACCAAGAATTGCAAAAGCCATTCTAGTCAAGAGAGACATGGCAAGGGGTATCACAATCCCCAACTTGAAACCACATTGCAAAGCCACTGTGATTTTAAAAAAAAAACAGCATGGCACTGGCAAAGAAACAGTCCCAATGATCAGTGGATTAGATTAGAAGATGCAAAATCAACTGCAGATGTACTCAATTACCTCATTTTTGACAAAGGAGCCAAACATCCTCACTGGATGAAAGATACCCTCTTTAATAAATGGTGATGGAAAAAACTGGATTTCAATTTGCCAAAGACTAAAACTAGAACCTTATCCTTCACTACACATTAAACTAAAGTTAAAGTGGATTAAAGATCTAAATATTAAAATAGAAACATTACACTTTCTGGAAGATAATTAGGTAGAACTTTTGAAGATATTTGCATAGGAAAAATACTTTATGAACAAATACTCAGTAGCACAGGAACTAGCACAAAGAATCAACAACTGGGACTTTATCTTATTAAAAAGCTTCTACACAGCAAGAGAAATCACCAACAGAGCTAAGAGACGATCTACAATGTGGGGAAAAAAACTGTTCCTCAGACAAAAGTCTACTGCTTATACTATATAAAGAACTCAAAAAAAAAAATCAAGCCCCCTAAATGTAAAGATCCTATTAAAAAATGGGCATCTAAAATGAACAGACAATTCTCAGACAAAGAAGTAAAAGCAGCAGATAAATATATGAAAAAATGTTCAACATTACTGGTCATTCAAGAGATGCAGATGAAAACAATGCTGAGATTCTAGCTCACCCCAGAAAAAATGACTGCTCTGAATAAATCACCAATAACAAATGCTGGCAGGGTTTTAGGGAAAAGGAACCATTCTTCTTTGTTGGTGAGAGTGCAGACTGGTGCAACCACTTTGGAAATCAATATGGAGATATTTCAAACAAATAGAGTTCAAAGTCCCATTTGACCCAGGTATCCCTCTGCTAGTTATCTTCACAAAAGAGTTAAAAGAATCATACTACAGTGATATGTGTATACCCATATGTATAGCAGCACAGTTTGTAGTAGTTAGGACTTGAAAACAGCCCAATGGTCCATCAACTCAAGACTGGATAAAGAACATGTGGTTTTTGTTTTTTTAACATATAAAATGGAGTACTACTCAGCCATAAAGAATGAGAAACTAGAGACATTTATAGCTAAGTAGATGCATATTAAGGCCATACTCAAGTGAAATTAATAGGACACACGTGTGTAAATAACAAATAGTTTGTCTGGTTGAAAACCTAAAAGTGTAAATAAGGATCAAATTGTATAATTGATAATGTGAAATAGGAAGAAAAAAGCTAAAGGGGCAGGGAAGTGGATTGGGTAGGAGAAAGGTAAGAAGGGAAAAGAAAAAATATGAGAAAAGGAAAAACATTGAAACAAAGTTTTTATAAATAGGGAAGGGTGGGGGTGAAGGGATGGCAGGGGAATGGGGAAAATGTAAGAACCAAGACCTGTCATGTAAAAGTACAAGATCCCAATAATGAATGTAACTGTACTGTATACCTAAATTGTACCAATAAAGTTAATTTGATAAATAAATAAATAAATGTGTCATCAGTAAATGGCTTTATTTTGCTATCAGTTATTCTATCACATAGTAGTTTTTATAAAGTATGTTTGAGTTGTAACTTTTAAATTTTTTGTGAAAGTGAAAATTTTTTTGTTTCTCCTATTTTCTGACTTTACAAAACATTCCTTGGTGTGGATCAAACCTGGCAGCACGTTTTTTCACATAATGTCTTTACAAATTGTAACATTTGAAAACTAACACAATTTTCTTACAAATTAAGGACAGTATATTATTATTTGTACTCAAAAAGTATTCCTCTGACCATTTTTCCTCAGATACTCTTCCTCAAAGATCCATGATCTTTCTTGTTTGGGCTCTGTTCTGTTTTGAGATAACACTGAAGCCAAAATTTTAAAAATTAATAAGTAAGCTGCTATTAATTTTTCTACCATTGGCAATGTAGTATATGTAATCAGAAAAATATCATGAGCAATATCACAATACATTTTTGTACTTCTTATATCACAACTATTAACTTATTAAATTATTTTACTGAGTAAACAAGCCTAAGTGCACTGCCTATCATCACAGACACACACAGAAATAGGCTGAAAAATTATTATCAGTAGTCACCGTAGTTTTTCACCAAGCCACACAGGCACAGGTAGCATGAGGTATGTGGGTTTCCATTTGATCCTGTGTGTGGCAGGCATGAAGTGGAGTTAGTTTCACACTGCACTTACTTGTCTTGATACTGCACAATACTTCATGGAAATATTTGGTATGCTTTTGAAAGATCTGGTAAATATTTACATGAGTAAATATTACATGAGTAAATTTACATGAGTAAATTTGAATGGTAAATTAAACTTATCAAAAACAACTGGGTAGGACCAGAAATTTAGCTCAGTGGTTCTGCCGCCTGCCTCACAAGTGCAAGGTCCCAAGTTCGATCCCTGGTACAAAAACAAATGGGTACCTTAGTATTAAGAACAGTGGAGATTGAATGCCCAAAAAGAATGTACATAATTTAACCCCATCACATAAAATTCTCTAGGACAATGTGACAAAGAATCACGGTGTTGAGCTGCCAGCCAGGCTGCTCGCCACACTGAGCGCCGGAGCCGGAGCCGGAGGCCGAGGCCGAGCCCGCGGCCACAGTCATGTCCCACCAGACTAGCATCCAAGCAAGTGAAGATGTCATAGATATCTTTGCCAGAGCCAGAAATGGAAAATACAGACTTCTGAAAATTAGCAACTTGTGGGTGGATCATGTAGTCAGCCTTCAGGTTCCTGGGATAAGGATTATGATTCCTTCATTTTGCCCCTGTTGGAGGACAAGCAGCCATGCTATATATTATTCAAGTTAGATTCTCAGAATGCCCAAGGATATGGATGGATATTCATTGCATGGTGTCCAGATCCTTCTCATGTTCGTCAAAAAATGTTGTATGCAGCTACAACAGCAACTCTAAAAAAGGAGTTTGGTGGTGGCCACATTAAAGATGACGTATTTGGTACAGTAAAGGAAGATGTCTCCTTACATGGGTATAAGAAATGTTTGCTGTCACAGTCTTCCCCTGCCCCACTGACTGCAGCAGAGGAAGAATTACGGTAGATTAAAATTAATGAGATACAGACTGATGCGGGTGTGGACACTAAGCATCAAACGCTACAAGGAGTAGCATTTCCTATATCTCAAGAAGCTTTGCAGTCTTTGGAAAAACTGCCTAACAGACAGCTGAACTATGTGCAGTTGGAAATAGATATAAAGACTGAAATTATAATTTTGGCCAACACAACAAATACAGAACTGAAAGATTTGCCAAAGAGGATTCCAAAAGACTCTGCACGTTATCATTTCTTTCTGTATAAACATTCCCATGAAGGAGACTACTTAGAGTCCATAGTTTTTCTTTATTCAATGACTGGATGCACATGCAGTATAAGAAAACGGATGCTGTACTCTAGCTGCAAGAGTCCTGTGTTAGAAATTGAGGAAGGACAACTACAGATGGATATATTCAGAAAGATAGAGATAGACAAAGGGGATGAGCTGACCGCCGATTTCCTTTATGAGGAAGTACATCCTAAGCAGCATGCACATAAGCAAAGTTTTGCAAAACCAAAAGGTCCTGCAGGAAAAAGAGGGATACAAAGACTTATCAGGGGTTCAGTTGAAACAGAAGAGACTACTGATTAAAAGTGATATATTAAACATTGCAATACTAGATGTTTAAAATTCAGCTTTTAGTACAAGAGAACTGAAATCATTCCATGTTACATAGTAGGGAGAAAAATTGTACTTTGAAAAATAGCACTTTTCACTTCTATGTATTTTTAAAATTAATGTTATAGAAGACTCATGATTTCTATTTTTGAGTAAAAGCTGGAAAGAGTTTCAACATAGTAATGTTTAATTTTGTCACAGTTTTCAGAGAGTGTTCATTCCACACTTTCACATGATTCTTGAAATTTTAAATAGTTGGGCCAGTTTGAGAAAGTTGAATGCCTTAAATTAGGATATATTTTTTATTACTCTTTAGTGAGACACCTGATTTTTTTTTTAAAAAAAGAGAAGCAGAAAAAACTTAAATATTCATAGTACTTGCTGAATATGTTAAGGACCAGGTTAGGTTATTTTTTAAGCAGAAATTTTAGTGTGCCTCAGGAAAGGTGGAAAGTTGGTTACTTTAAAGAGCAGTGCTAACTCTTGTCAGTCTGGGATTAAATCTGTGACTTATACAAATAGTGCTTTATCACAGCAGCTTTTTAGATTTGACTTTTTAGAGGTTTTTTTTTAATGGCATTAAGATTTCTGAAGATTAGGTTACTCTGAAACTAGGGTACCAGATATTTTCTATACTGCAGAATTTCGGTTGCCATTGACTTTTAACACTCAGTAAATTATTTCTTCTAGTACTTTAAAAAAGTTTCTTTCCAAAATAAGTCATTTCATTTTAAGTACTGTGAGTCCACATGATTATATTCATATTAAAATTTAAATTACCATTATTCTAAAGGAAACAAAACTAAAATGAAAAATGTTGAAAACGTTTCAGATTTTTTTCTCTAAAACCATTTATAGGCAAATTGAGTTCTTTATCACTTTTTAGCAAATACTCAAATTGAAAATTGATATCCTAGTGGTAAACAATCTAACACAGATAAACAGTCTATGAATCTTGTTTCATTTAATATCTTATTTCAAAACATACTTAACTTTTCTCTAAAGCCTTGCATCTTCATTTACAGCATAGAGAGATTTTGAACCTCACATTTCTTTGATACTTGAATTAAGGGAGCAAGAATACTTCATATTTAATCTGTTAAAACTGCTGCACAGCCATAACTTTGAGGAATTTTCTAAGTGAGCTGTGGGTATCCAGGATTTGGAATTTCTTGACCTAAACTTCATGTTGCATAAAACAAATAGTAGAAGTACACATTTCATAGTATAAAACATGAAGCACTCCTGGCTAAACCTTAACATCTAAGGTAATACATGCACCTTTCTGAAATTTCACATGTATTGAAGTAAAGCATATAATTATGGTTTGACAGATTTTTTAAAATAGAATTAAGAGTATTTGTGTGGATTTTTGTTTGTTTACAAATAATTAGACTAAACTTGCAGAATAGTTTGTTTGCTAGAGATATACTTTGTTTTTTCATGGGTGCGCAAATAGACACACGCACATGATTATTGCATTAAGAATCCTGGAGCTATGTTGTAGACCATAACTGAATCTGTAATTTTCAGTCATGATGATTACCTGTCATGAAGATATAAAATAATTTACTAGTGAATGTTTTCTCTGTATGATTCATGTGCAATTGTACTCAAAATTCCACTACACTACATGAAAGTAAATGGACATTCCAGGATATAGATGTGATTATATAATCTTAATTATTAAACCAATGATTGCTGAGAAAAAAAAGAATCATGGTATTCCTCAGCAATGAACAGACATGAAAAGATCTGCAGAGAAACATTGTAATTACCATTCTTTGTGTGAGTAAAGATTATTAATCCAGAAGTGACTTTCCCTTCCAACAAACTTTCTCCTGTTACCAACACAAGCTGGAGACCATCAGAAAGAATATCACACTAAAAAAGTTCTTTCATTTCATTCCACCACCATCATAAAAAAGACAAAAGACAAACTGGCCACCAAAAGTTCCACCAATGTTTTGAGGTGTACATGAAAAGAAACATTCTCCTCCTTCATAAAGATGGATATTAAGAGGTTTAAGTTTGATGTCTTGGAATTCTATTCTAACTCTGATCATTTTACATAAAATCTTGCAACAGGGAATTATCTTTTCTAAGGGAATTTTTATGCAAAAGCAAAAATTTACAAAAGAAACTAAGGTTTGAACTTTTGTAAGGCAACTGAGATGCAAAGTCCACTTTCTTCTCAGAAAACCAAAGAATTCCTGAAGACTGACCCTAGCCACCTGGCCCAACAGCAGGAAAGAAAAGCCTCATTTGGCAGGTTTGAGACTACACCAAGGCTGGAGGACAGATATACACCCCACTGTACATCCGATATGAACCCCACTGCCATTCATGTGTTTTCATTACCAATAACTTTATGCGTGACTCCTCTTGTAGGGATTGACCTTGACACAGGAAGCGGGCATTAGAAACTTTGGTGTCCCCTATAGTACCCAGCACATAGGCTAGCAAAATGCAGCCAAGCAACAAATAACACTTATATAGTCTAAGAAGCTGGGGATTTTGGAATTGAAATGATTGTGATTATAAAAGGCCCAGACAATTGAAAATCATTTTACAGATTTCAAAGAATTCTCATATTATTAGGTTACTTACTTCCTACACTGAGTCAACTACAAAGAAGCTATTCCACACAAGGAATGTAAACATTATATACTGCAAACATGTACCTAGAAAAGGAAAAGCAGGAAGTTATAGGGGGAGGGGGAGAGAGTGAAGGAAGGGAAAGGAGCATTTCATTAAGATTTATTACTACACCACCAAATTCAATTTCCTGTAGCAAAGGAAATTGTTATAAGTATTGTACAAGAAAGTATCTAGTTAGGTTTTAATTAAAATTGCTCCTTCAGTAGCCATGCACTCACCCCACCTGCACTGCAACCAGCATCCAGTGGAAGGGGGAAGGAGAGGGTCCAGAATAGCCCCTCAGAGATCCCATTCTCTCTCCAGCCTGCCTGGAGCAAACCACTGAGGACTACCTTGCTAGGTGGGCACTACTGCAATGCTCCCCTAAGGCTTCTGATTGTGCCAGTCCTTGGATCCACTCTGCAGAGGAACACATGGTCATAAAGGGCATTTTTTTGAGCTCTAGACTTTGAATATCTTCAAAGAAAGGGCAGAGGGAACCTGCAGTAGAACTCTTTGGAGCTGAACCATGCAGGACGTCCGGGGGTTCAATTTGGGCCTTGCAGCCCAAATTCAGCCTGAATCTCAAGGGTCAGCCATTGGCTAGATGAGATCAAAGGACTTACTTCTGCACATGGCTGCACATATTGTCTATTATGACAGCAGAAATACAGTCTGAAAGAGGCCCTTCAAATTCTTTTTCTTCTTTCTTTTCCTCATTCCACTCTGCAAATTCTTTTTTCTGTTTTCTTTTTCCAACTCAATCTCTTGCTCACCCATATTATTCCTTCTCTCTCTTTCTGTTACTGTTCCTGGCCTAACTTGGATTTCTTCTTTTATTGATTTTTCTTCTTTATTTTCTTTTCTTTTCTCATTTTCCTTCATTCAAGGGTCAATAGTTTCAAAGGAAAGTGAGCCCCTATTACTGTTAAGTTGTAATATCCTTGTCCTTATTCTTGCACTCTGTCTTTCCCTTTGGAATTCAACAGTTTCCGAAAGATTGTATGGTCATCCTATGTCTCTGGCTTCACTTGAAACTTTCTCCAATTCTTTCACTTATCTATTTCCCTCATCCTAACTCTGTCAAAGCCACCGTCCTAAATATTAAAGATGCTATATTGAAGAGTTTATTCATGTAAAACATATTGAGGGCTGCTCCTTGATTTAATTTAACTCATGTGGTTTAAAGGTGATAGATTCATGACTACCACAAATGCTCAATTTGTAACTTGTGCTTGATCCTATTTTGTTGCTGATTGTATCAATTGGGCTAAATGGTTCTGATTAATTCACTGAGTTGTCTTCTCTGATATTAAGAAAATGAGAATGTCTATAAGTCATTAGAGACTCAAAAGCTAAAGCACAACTATATCAGGAAGATTTAAATAATAACCCAGGAATTAAACCAAGAGCAACCCAACAACAAGAATAAAAATGAGAAAACACTTAGGCACACCACAAAAAGAGACTTCCAGTTCATAGATGGCAAACTTTAGGGCAAATGAGATTGTAAAGTCTGACAGTGAAACATCAGGACACCCTAAACTCATAGCACAAGTAAAAAAACAGATCAATCAATATCTAGAAAAATACAAAACAAATAAATTCCAAGATAACTATAGAGGTGGTGAGCACAATGAAAGACATGATTAAAGACTCTAGAACAGAAACTGACAAAAAAAAAAATAGATGAGCTCAGGACCATGATAGAAGCCATGAAGGTCCAACATAAGAAAGAAATGGAAACCATGAATGCCCAACATAGGAAAGAAATGGAATCCATGAAACAAATTCAAACAGATAACAGGAGATTAAAAACTCTATTGAAAGATTTGCAGCAGGATAAAAAAATTGTGAAGATAAAATTTCAAATATAGAAGATAGGATTGCAGTCAGAAACCATGAAAAGAGAGGTCTCTTAAAATCAGTAAGGGATCAGGAGAAATTGATCCAATAACTCCTAGATGATGCAAAGAAGGATAACATAAGACTGACAGGAATCCATGAAGTATCAGGAGAAAATACAAATGACTTAAAAAATCTGTTCACAGAATTAATGGCAGAAAACTTCCCAAACAAAGGAAAAGAACTTGACATACAGATAAGTGAGGCATATAGGACTCCAAATAGCCATGATCAAAAAAAAAAAACCCTACATGTGGACATATAATAATCAAGATCCCAGAAACCCAACAGAACAAAACACTACAAGCAAAAAGAGAAAAGAAACAAATCACATGCAAAGGAAAGCCCATCAGAATCACAGCAGACTTTTCAACAGAAACTCTCAGGTGAAGGAGAGCCTGGAGTTAGGTATTTCAAGTCCTAAAAGA